TTAGCATCAACAACAATAATAACTACAACACCAACAACAATAAAAAAAATAAATAACAAAACAAGATAACAACGAAACATTACCGCTACAACAACAACAACAAAACAAAATTTCAAGTAACAGCAAAAGTTCAGACATAAACCACAGCCATAAAATCTACCCAGAGCGACGAGTGAAAATAAAAAAGACGTAAATAAAGAAAAAGAAATAAAACAGAAGTAGGAGGAAGAACAGGAGAAGTGGGATGAACAGAAGGAAAAAAAGAAGTGGAAAAAGAAGTGGGGAGCACAGAAAAGAAAAAGAAGTGGGGAAGAACAGAAGTAGTGAGAAGAAGCAGAAGAAGGAAACAGAAAAGTGGGAAGAACAGAAAGTGGGGACAGAAGAAAGAAAAAGAAGTGGAACGAACAGAAGTGGAAACGTAGAAAAGTGGAAGAACAGAAAAGAAGAGGAACAGAAGTGGGAAGACAGAAGAAGAAGAAAGAACAGAGGCACGACGCCATCGAAAGACTTTCTCTAGAGAAATGTCTTGTGCAATCTGACTGGGCAATGTTGTTGTTACTGCAAGTTGCACCAAGTTGCAGTAGAAGGGAAAAGAAAGGGGGGAGTGAACAGATGGAGCAGGGAGGTTGTGGGAGGGAGGAGAGAGGTGGGAGGTGAGGGTGGAGAGGGAGGAGGGAAGGGGAGGAGGGACGTGGGGAGAGGTGGTGAGGGAGGAGTGGAGAGGGAGGAGGGAGGGGTGGGAAGGAGGGAGGCTGGGAGGGGTGGGAGGGAGGAGGGACGATGGGAGTAGGGAGTAGGGAGAGGTGGGGAGGAAAGGGTGTTGAGGGAGTAGGGGTGGTGGGGAGGAGGAGGGTGTAAGGGAGGGAGAGGGGGAGGAAGATGGAATAGGGAGGAGTTGGGGAGTTGGGGGTTGGGAGAGGAGGGAGTAGGGGGTGGGAGGGAGGAAGGGGCAGGAAGAAGGAGAGGAAAGAGGAGGGAAAGAAGAATAGGCGATTAGAACGAAAGGACGAGGGAGGAGTAGATAAAGAGGGAAGGAGAGACGGGAAGAAACTAGAAAGCGAGGAAAGATGAAGAGATGGAGTAATAGATAAATATTCTGATAATGAGGCATAGGACTGATAAAAATCGTGAGAGAAGATGGAAGCAGGAAATGAGATAGAGATAGAATAGATAGATAGAGAGAGAGAGGCAGGGAAAGATAAATAGACAGAGAAAGAGAAACAACACACACACACACACACATATATACATATATATATATATATCATATATATTATATTATATATATAATAATATACATATATATATATATATATATATATATATATATATATATATATATATATATATATATACAGAGAGAGAGAGAGAGAGAGAGAGAGAGAGAGAGAGAGAGAGAGAGAGAGAGAGAGAGAGAGAGAGAGAGGAGAGAGAGAGAGAAGAGAGAGAAAGAGAGAGAAGAGAGAGAAAGAAAGAGGAAGAGAGAGAAAGAGGAAAAGAGAAAGAGAGAAGAGAAAGAGAGAGAGACAGACAGAGAAAGAGAGAAAATAAAGAAAGATACAACATAACAAAAGGAAACGGAGAAGTGAAAGTGTTGTACCTCGTAAGTACCTCGTTCGGAGCAGAAGCGATCGCGAATTCCCAGCCGGGAGAGCGAGGTGTTCACTCGGCGACCGCAACGTAATTTACACGAACGCGAATTTGCATTTGGCGCTGGTCTCTCTAACGAGGTCTTTTCTAGTTCTCTCTGTCTGTTTCTCTCTTTCTCGCTCTTTCTTTTACGTCTTTTTGCTTCGTTTTTTCTTCATTGGTTCTACTTTTGATCACCACTCTGTCTTACTCATCTACTCTCTCCTTTCTCTTTCTGCTATATTATTTCTTCTATATCTAGCTATTGGTGTCTTCTCTATACGATCTGTACTATACTCTTATCCATCTACATCCCCTACTCATTATATTGTCTTATATATCATTCATATATATATATCTACGCCCTCCCCCGCGCCCCCCCCCCCATAATGGTGATTATTGCGGCCTATACTTACCCTCTCTCTCACTATAGGTCTTTATATATCATCATTATGTCTAAGATATCTCATTACTCATTCATTCACATTGTATTCATTATTATTTATCCTACTCATTTATAATATACACTTATTACTATTTATTATTATTCATTATTATACTTAATACATATTACTCTATTCACATATTATCTCTTCTCACATTATTACTTTCTTTCCATATGTCCTCATTTTTCTTCATTCATATTATACACTCCATCTTCTTTCCTCGCTCACATCATTATTACATGTAGATTCCCTCTATTGCTGTCGCACTCATATATTGTATTCATTACTTTTTCTTCGATATAACTCTCTCTCATATATGATATTAACTGTGTCTTCTCTCACTCTTATTATTGGCCGGATATCTCTATTATTTATTTTTACTATTCTTTCATTGTCTGCTCTCTCTCATCTCTGTCTCCTTTCTTTTCCATTGTCAGTGTGTGTGTAGAGAATATGCCTTGTGAGCTGGCTATACTCTATTACTCACACAGCAATTCATTCACGGAGAACCCTGAATAAGCAACCACTTTCGAACGCCAGATGCGTGTACAGATAACATCTATACGCACAATCGTGCAGCATCGATCATCAGCTCACTCGCCTCTCTACATTTGTCATTACACCTCGATATCTAAAACATGAGTTTAGAATGGGCTTCATTTTAACAGGCGATATAACTACACACGGGTCGCTCTCGTTGTATTCGGGTTTTTTATCTTCCTATTTACTGTTGGGTTGAATATAGGGTGTTTTGTGTATTAGGGGGTATTTATCATCATAGTAAGAGTAGATTGTTTATTTTTTAGTATATTCTTGCTTATATATATATTCTTTCTATTATATATACTTTTTTTTTTAACGGGGTGGATAAGAGGGGAGGGGTTTTCGGTTTACTTTATCTTCAGAAGTTGCTGTATTTTTTTTTTTGTTATTTTGGCGGATTGTTGTTCTTTCTTATAGAGACGCTGTATGGAGAGGTCTTGCTTATACGTATACTCGCTCTATCTCATCACTAACAGCCATTGCATATTCACTCATATAGATGGTGGCTTTACACACAGCACTCACATACTACACACATGGATACATCTACACTACACTGCATCGTTACTAATGGGATACTAGACCTCCATTACTTACATTCAGCACTCACAGGAAGCGACATTCCCTAATACTATTAGTATAATTAATTGCTATATTTTATATATGCCTTCAGAACTTAGGGCATCATTCACTATAATTCGTACCTTGAAGACTATATGACTGCAAACAATCACTATATTGGCGAATATCCAAATTCCCGCATTATAATGCTCATTTATCATTTTATCAATGTATGTAATCTACAATTTCTAAATTCAGCACTCTCATTTGACTTATTCTATTTCTACTATCTCCTGATTTCCAAGGTCATTGGCATTTTTTCATTTGGCAATTATCTATTTTATCTTGTATTCACAGTGGTATTATGTTCCCATCATATTCTGCAATTTCATATATCCACAAAAATAATCAAATATATACATCATCAAATCGCCAATTGCACTAATACGCACATCTGAGAGAGGGAGAGGGATACCGGGGAGATGGGAAAGGGAGGAAGAGGCGAGGGAGAGAGAACAAGGGTGATGGAGCGGCAGGGGCGAAGGGAGAGAGAGAGAGATAGGGGGGAAGCGAAATGGGGGAGAGGGAGAGGGACGGGGAAGTAGGGAGCGGGAGTGAGAGAGAGAGAGATGAGAGAGAGAGAGAGAGAGAGAGAGAGGAGAGAGAGAGAGAGAGAGAGCGAGGAGAGAGAGGAGAGGGAGCAGAGAGAGAAGGGTAGGGGGACGGAGGGGAGAGAGGGAGGAGAGAGGGAGGAGGGAGGGAGGAGGGAGGGATGGAGGGAGGGAGAGGCGGAGAGGAGAGAGTGAGAGAAAAAGACAATATATATATATTTATATATATCATTATATATACTATATATATTATATATATATATATATTCTCGGGAGAGAGAGAGAGAGAGGAGAGAGGGAGGAGAACAAAGTAGATTTGGACCGCAACAATGAGAGAGCAGAGCACTATAGATAAAGAAAGTGCATTTATTTAAACTGAATCCTTATTACATCCTTAGATATATATTCTAATAAGACTTACTGCACACGTATCAAATATATCGCATTAATTGATAAACTGGTCAATTAATATTAACACACTACTGCACTACCATCGCGCACACCTGAACCAACCTGCAGCGGTCGGAGGCTAAAAGATCTTTACAGAAAGGCAAGCACATTAATAGTTCACATTTAACAATCGCGCGTAACACTCTTGCTCAAATTGACAAAATTGGTCTTTTTCTAGTAAAATAAAACGAATAGATATATCTACACGTCCTGTTTATTCTAGCTGTTTCTTATCGTTTTGTTCTGTATGCTGCCCTTTCTTCTGGTCTTAGATTACTTCAACTATCATCGTTTT